AAAAAAAAAAAAAAAAAAAAGGAAATCAGATGATTACTGCAATGAAATATTGAGCAATAATAATAAGAAAAAGTAACATTCACATGAAGTAGAATGATTTTGTAGTATTTCTTTTTCTATTGTCTATATGATTTGTCATGATCTGTTTTTTGAAATTATCTTCTATTTTTATTTGTAAATCTTAGTTGTCTCTTTTTTGAGAGTTTGGGGAAAAAAGTTAACTGATGACTCCATACTGAAGCTCAGTCAAAGCATTCTATGATAGACATACTTTAATCTGACAATGTGAATGTTACTTTTTTTGCATTATTACTATTGTTCAATATTTCATAGAAATGGTATTTTCTAGTTTACTAAGTTTTTAGACACTAAGAGTTATACGTCGTTCACCTTTTCAAATAATTAGAATTAAACTTTAAGATAAAATTTATTAGACTTTTTTTTTTTTTTTTGACATAGTCTCACTTTGTCACCCTTGGTAAAGTGCTGTGGCTTCATAGCTTACAGCAACCTCAAATTCTTTGGCTCAAGTAGTCCTCTTGCTTCAGCCTCTGAAGTAGTTGGGATTATAGGCACTTGCTGCAACACCCATCTATTTTTCGACATGGAGTCTCTCCCTGGCTCAGGCTGATATTGAATGAGCTCAAGTAATCCACCTGCCTCCTTCTCCCAAAGTGCTAGGATTACAGGCAGAGGCGTGAGCCACCATGCCCAACCTGAGAAATTATATATTTTTTCACACTATAAATTATTCTTGTTCCTTAAATGTATAGTTGATAATGGTTTCTTACAAATATTCTAATATTAAATTTTCCCCCATGTTCCACAAATGCAAAGTTTTTTGGAATTTGGAAACAAAAACTTGAATACCCTTTATATACTTTTTTGTATGGAAACTGTGTCACTGTGTTGCACAGGCCTATTAAACTCCTAGGCCCAATTGGGTCTCCTGCCTTACCCTTTAATATACTTTTTAGTATATTCACACTACAATATTTGTTTTTAACCAAGGGACTATATGCAGATTCCTCAAGAGCCCGTGGACACTAGCATGGAGATAACAAACTTTTTTTTATAAATGACAGGTAGTAGAAATTTAGGTGTTGCCAGCCCCTTCAGTCTCTGGTCGGATATTCAACTTTGCCTTTGCAAAAGCAATCACAAACAATACATAAAAGTGAATAGACAGGACTGTATTCCAACAAAACCTCATTATCAAAAACAGGTCGTCCATAAGACAATAGTTTACTAACTTCTGATCCAAATTACATTTGATATAAATTAAAACTAATAATAAAGTATTATGTTACTGTGGTGGAAGAAAAGGAAGTATTTTTTGGATAGGATATTAGCCTAAAGGTATTTAAGTAATAGGCCACAAAATAACTAACAGAACTCTATGCCAGAAGAAAAAATTCTGTTCGTATTTTTAGTTAATTTTCTGTGGCATGTGGCTTCACAGTAATTTTGATGTGATAATTTTTATGTTAATTATTTTCTTTATTTTTTCAATCTCTCAAAATAACTGCGATATGAAAGTTAGGATGTACACTATGAAACAGTCACAAACCAGTGACCCTGGGGATCAGGGACAGGCGGAAACAAACCATCCCTGACCCTTCCCCCCATTGGTATGTTACTGTTTACGGTTTTTCTGCCTTCCTGCTAACATCTTTTATATTTGTCCCTTTAAAAAATTTTTTTAGACAGGGTCACTCTGTCACCCACACTAGAGTGCTATAGCCTCAGCCTAGCTCACAGCAGCCTCAAATTCTTGGGCTCAGGCAACCTCTTGCTTTACCCTCCTGAGTACCTGCCACAATGCCTGGCTGATTTTTCTGTTTTAGCTAGAGGTAGAGACAGGATCTCTCTTTGCTTAGGGTGGTATAGAACTCCTGACTTTAAGTGATCCTTCCGTCTTCTCTTCTCAGATTATAGGTGTGAGGCTGTAATCTTTTTATCGCTTTATTTGTCTTCACTTAATAGTTGTTGCTACTCCGTAGCTATCAACTTAGTGTGTATACATGGTAAGCCATTTTCCAGTGGATAGATTGCAATGAATTTTTTTTTTTTTTTAAGAGATAGAGTCTCACTTTATCGCCCTTGGTAGATTGCCGTGGCGTCACAGCTCACAGCAACCTACACTCCTGGGCTTAGGCAATTCTCTTGTCTCAGCCTCCCAAGTCGCTGGGACTACAGGCACCTGCCATAATACCCAGCCATTTCTTTGCTGCAGCTTGGCCTAGACGGGGTTTGAACCCGCCACCCTCGGTATATCCAGCACCCTACCCAGAGAGCTACAGGTGCTACCCTGCAATGAATATTTTTTAACTTTATGAAAAATGTACAATAATGTATATTGATTTTTTTTGTAGCCAAAAAAACATATGTGACTGGCTGTTCTTTTATTTCTGTTTTAAATTTCAGTCAGAGGCAAACTGTTCTGCCATGTTTGGAAAACTGATGACCATAGCAAGTGAGTATGTTCATTCACTCAGCACCTATATAATAAACTCACAGCAGACAATTTACCAAATGGGCCTTTCAATTGAATGTTAAGTAAAAGAGAATAATCCTTATCTCAGTTTTATTTCTGAGAACAAATTCAGCTGATTGTAAGACACTTTCAGTGTAGTAGTGTTTTTTTCTTCTGTAATATTGAGTCTTTTAATTTTAAATAGAGAATTTGCCTGACCCTGGGAAAGCACAAGATTTTGTGAAGAAATTTAACCAAGTTCTTGGTGATGATGAGAAACTGCGGTCTCAGTTGGAGCTATTAATCAGCCCGGCATGTTCCTGCAAACAGGCAGATGTTTGTGTGGTAAGTAAAGTATATATGTGTTCTCCCAGATTTACTTACAGAACTTTATATATTTCATTAAAGCCTGATCTACATGGTGTGTTGTGTGAGCTGTGAATTACTTAGGAATATATCTGTGGTTGGCTTAGTTTTCTTTACTTACTGCTCACTCTCCAGCCACATTCTAGGAAAAATCTAGAGAACAAAGCCAGAGAGTTTGGTTTTAGGAATTGAGCAAGATAACATACTTTGTGTTTAGTAGATATACTGAGTAAATGATGAGTACTTTCTAAGTGCTTGTGTGCATGCATTTTTCCCCCTTGTATTAACGTAGAAATAACCATTGTCAGGAAATTGTCAGTAGTAACGTTACCATGTATGTGATTTTATATATAGATAAGGTAAATTCCTATTTAGACTTTTGTCCTCCATTTCTTTCATAGACTTATTTTACAGAATGAGTCTATACCAGTATCACTGAAGATGTCAGGAAGGAAAACTTCATTTATTCAGCATTTTATGAGGTAGAGATTGAATTTTATGAGATTTTAAATTTCACTACACCATGTATGACCATGTGATTGTTAGTAAGTTATTCAATATTTTTGAACTCTGCTTTGTTCACCTGTGGATATTAACAATCTCAAAGAGTTGTTAAAAGATTTTATTTTAGGCTCAGCACCTATAGCTCAGTGAGTAGGGTGCCAGCCACATGCACTGAGACTGGCAGGTTTAAGCCCGGCCTGGCCTGCTAAAACAACGACAATTGCAACCAAAAAAACCAGCTGGGTGTTGTGGCAAATGCCTGTAGTCTCAGCTGCTTGGGAGGCTAAGGTAAGAGAATCAGTTAAGCCCAAGAGTTTGAGGTTGCTGTGAGTTTTGATCTTACAGCACTCTACTGAGGGCGACATAATGAGACTCCATCTAAAAAAAGATTTTATTTTAGGCTGGGTGCCTATAGCTCAGTGGCTAGGGTGCCAGCCACATACACCGGGGCTGGCCAGTTCAAACCCAGCCTGGGCCTTTCAAACAACAATGACAACTATAACAAAAAAATAGCTGGGCACTGTGGTAGACACCTGTAGTCCCAGCTACTTAGGAGTCTGAGGCAAAAGAATCACTTATGCCCAAGAGTTTGAGGTTGCTATGAGCTGTGATGCTAAGGCACTCTACCCAGGGCAACATAATAAGACACTGTCTCAAAAAAAAAAAAAAAGGATTTTATTTTTTTCTTTCATTTTACAAATATTTTGCCTATCCTTTAATTTCCAAAGCACACTCATTCACATATTGACTGACTGACATTCTTTTATGATAGATTAAAACATCTACTTTATCCCAACCACACAAAAGGAAAACAGGTAAAGCAAAAGAGCATTAAGGGACTTCCTTTTTTCTAGAATTAGTAGACTTGTGTGTTTGTCTAAGTAAATCCAATTTCATTCTTCTGGCTGAACTTTATTTATATATCTGCCCTGATTCTTATATTGTTCTTTCATATGAAAGACAGCATTATCCAGTCATTCAAGCCAAACCACCTTCTTCACCAACGCCCTACCACTTGTCATCAACCATTAAAAGACATCTTCCTAAATTTTTCTGAAATTGAGTCCTTGTCTATTAGAGTTCCCTTTTGGAAGTCCATTTCTTCATTGGTATGGTATGTGAGATTTAATTGCTCTGCAGCAGTTTTCTCTTCTTCAGTCAGTGGTGGCAGCTCCAGGTCTGTTTGCTTTTGTAGTTTTTGTATCATGTTCATAGTCTGTTCACAGTAGCACAAATGAGGCTTTTAGACTCTTTCTGCTCAACAACAAGTAGTTTAAAGCGTGCGTACAAAGTTTGATATCCAGACTTTATCGCTGACATTTCCTTTAACGTATAACTGAACTTTTCATGCCTGCTGAATCAGGATGATTAGTCTTGATTTCATATTCCATCCTGTACTGAATATAATCCAGATCAGAGTCAGCAGCCTTCTGGAACATCAGTTCCAGCTTATTGACCTCTGCCTCCATGTTGAATAGTTCTATTTTTTTATCTCAGAATGTTAGGGGTACAGATGTTTTGTTTACATATTTTGTTTTTATACAGAGTGAGTCAAAGTTACACACATTAAGTGTGCACTTCACATGGTATGTATGAATTTAACTCATCCCCTTCTCTTCCCCAACTCCCGCCAGCTTGATTGGCATACATGTATATGTCAAATACTATGCTTGGGACCAGGCTTCTTACAGAGATGAATAAGAGAAAGATAATTACTACAGTGTTTTGTTGTTGTTGCTTTTGTTGTTGTTGTTGCGACAAAGTCTTAAGGTATCACCCTGGGCATCGCAGCTCACAGCAATATCAGACTCTTGGGCTGAAGCGATTCTCTTGTCTCAGCCTCCCAAGTAGCTTGGACTACAGGCGCCCGCCACAGTGCCCAGCTGCTTTTAAAACAGGGCCTTGCTCTTAGGCTGTGAGCTCAGGCAGTCCACTCACCTCAGCCTCCCAGAGTGGTAGGATTACAGGTGTGAGCCACCGCAGCTGGGCATTTTATACTATATTTAAATGTGCATTCTTTTTTCCCTCTTACATTTTTATATCTTCTGTGCTTATGTAATACCATATCTGTCACCTATTAGTGACCTAGCTATTTTTCACATTTATATTGGTTTTGGACAGATTCTGAAATACTTAGGTTAATGCAACTCAATTATATGCTATGGGGAAAAAATCACCTTTTGTAGATATGTCACAAAATAAGGTTAATTTCAGAAGATAGTACAGTATTTAAATTCAGTATAAAATTCAGAGCAAAGTATATAAAGATTAAGGGCCAAATAAAATATTTTTTCTTTAATGCTGAAATTTTGCTTAGTAAAATTTAATAGCTTGCTAAAATGAGGCATCTCATAATGACTAAGAAATTTTATTTAGTACATCTCAGTCCTTTGGACTTACACTCTAAACTAATAATGGATGATATTTAATACGTTCTTTTCCCCTTTGCTTCTTTGTCCTCCTGAATATATATTACTAAAATATTGTCTATGAGAAAAACTAATAAAGTGGATATCCTTTGTTACTGCTTTATAGCAGGGTTGCCCAACCTCTTTTTCTCTGCCCCAAATAGGAAGAATAAGAGTTGCCTTGAGCCACATATTTTAAATAACACAAACACTAACAGTAGCCTATGAGCAAAACAAAAGGTCCGTGCATACTTTTCCTAATATTGGACACCACAGATAAAACACTGGACATTCCTGCTTTATAGTTTGGAAAGCACCTTTTTTCTTTGTGGTTTTATTTCCCCCCTAGAGGCAGAGTCTCACTTTATTATCTCCATCATTGCTCACAGCAACCTGAAAGTCTTGGGCTTAAGCAACCCTCTTGCCAGCCTCCCAAGTAGCTGGTGGGACAACAGGGCCTTGCTTTTGCTCAGACTGGTTTTGAACTCCTGAGCTCAGGCAATCTACCCCCATTGGCCTCCCAAAAGTGCTGAGATCTCGGCATGAGCCACCACACCCAGCTGAAAGCCCCTTTAATGTATGTTATTTTCTTAGCTAATACATGTAATTACTCATCTTAAATGTGCCATTAAAAGGCTTGTCCTTGGTTTTTTGGTCTTGGGGGCAAGCGATTTAATTTTTTTGAGACAGTGTCACCTTCTGGTGGCCACGCTAAAGTACAGTGGCAACTATATAGCTCACTACAGTCTCCAGCTTATAGGCTCAAGAGATCCTTTCATCTCAGCCTACTTAACTTTATCTTTCAGGAAGTCCATCTCTGTAATTATTAAGTCCTCATTAGAAACATCCAGCAAGAATGTCTGTCTTCATAGAAACTACAGTAGACCTCGTAAATTGACCACCCAAAGGATTGCAACAAACTGGTCAACATAAGGAACTAGGCCTACTATACTGATAGATGCTTGTGGTGTGTGTCTGGGCTATGAAAATTAGGTCAACTTAAAGAAAGGTGGTCAGCTATGGAGGGTATACTGTATCTGATGTAATATCATTGCCTTTGAGCTTAAATTGACAGTTTTATTTTGGGGGCCACCTAACAGCCTTTAGTAATTCTATGTGTATGAATCAGTAAAAGCTGCTTTCTTGTACCAGCTTGTAAATGAATCCCCAATAATAAATTCAAAAAATAATAAAATAAATAAATAAATTCTATGTGTATGTTATAAATAAAATTCTAGGGGTGTACAGGCATCTCATTTATCACTCAACTCTGTTCCAGCAGGCTGAAATTTTTTATAAACATTTATATGATAGTTACTAATATCCCACTTTTTTGAAAATGAAATTAACTGAAACATAATTCTGTGAAATTATGAAAACCAATACAATATACCCATATAGTACAAATTTTTTAAAAAATAGAAAATAATTGGCTCGGTGCCTGTGGCTCAAGTGACTAAGGCACCAGCCACATACACCTAAGGTGGCGGGTTTGAATCTAGCCAGGCGTTGTGGCAGACACCTGTGGTCCCAGTTACTTGAGAAGCAGAGGCAGGAGACTCGCTTGAGCCCAGGAGTTGGAGATTGCTGTGAGCTGTGATGCCACAGCACTCTACCCAGGAGGACAGCTTGAGGCTCTGTCTCAAAAAAAAATATATTGCTGTTGGTTTGGAGCCTGTAGCCTGGGCACCAGCCACATAAACCAGAGCTGGTGGGTTCAAACCCAGCCCAGGCCTGCCAAACCACAGTGACAACTGCAACCAAAAAAAATAGCTGGGTGTTATGGCAGGTGCCTGTATTCCCAGCTACTTGGGAGGTTGAGGCAAGAGGTTGCTATGAACTGTGACACCATGACACTCTACTGAGGGTGACAAAGTGAGACAGTCTCAGAAAAAAAGAAAAATTGCTGTTACACTAAACAGTAATTTGATGGGAGAAAGATGAGATAGGCAGAATTCATCAAGAACCATATTATCCCCTTTCTGTTTCCACTGTCTAGATTTTACAGTGATTGTTTAGTGAATGTGTAAATTTTAATCAAAGTCTAAGGCAGACAACCTTTTCACTTATGCTGTTTTTGAATCTTTAAATGCCTTTTTTTTTTTTTTTTTGGCCTACAGTATTTCTATTTTGAAAAATGTTAAAAGCAGGCTCAAGCACCAATAGCACAGTGATTATAGCGTCAGCCACATACACCAAGAGTGGAGGGTTCAGACCTGGCCTGGGCCAGCTAAACAACAGTGACAACGGCAACAAAAAAATAGCTGGGTGTTGTGGTGGGCGTCTATGGTCCCAGCTACTTGGGAGGCTGAGGCATGAGAATTGCGTAAGCCTAAGAGTTTGGGGTTGCTGTGAGCTGTGATGCCACGGCACTCTTCCCAGGGCAACATAGTGAGACTCTGTCTCAAAAATATATATATATTAAAGGCAGTTGATACTTACTATAAAACTGTTTTCTTTCTCTGTAGAGAGAAATAGCCCGGAAACTTGCAAATCCTAAGCAGCCAACAAATCCTTTCCTAGAGATGGTCAAATTTCTGTTAGAAAGAATTGCACCTGTGCACATTGATTCAGAAGCCATAAGGTAAGGAAACAAATTCACTCAAAAATAGATTATAATATGAAACTACAATGTAGTAAATTTAAACTTGGGGCCCATAACGAGACATAAAATGTTTCTTTGTATACCTCTTTCTAATGGCAGAAGCATTCATCATTCAACTTGAAAGAAGACCTGTT